CACCTAAATCAAATGTTGTCGCTTACACAGCACTTTTTTCATACCTGTCGCTTACAGCATAAAGTTTGATCATTGATAACACGTTATAAAATAATGATATCACTGCATGAAAACTATCTATGGATCCGATAGAACGTCGTCTACAACGCTGGGTACAAAGTGTCGTTTACAACATAAGTGTCGCTTACAGCAAATAGCCTTTTAACCGACGATATACATTGTATATGAAAACAAAAACAATTTAATATTTCATTAAAAAAAAAAATGTTCATACAAAATAATAAATAATATTATATCACTAAATTCAATATTATTAATCAATAATTAACTTTTAAAAAAAATGGGTGAAAAATGTCGGCATCAAAAATATATGTCCATAATGTCAACAACTTTTGGAGTTTCAAGTACCCACGAATAATTTTATACAAACACAACAAAATAACTAAAATAGTTATTCTAGGTTTTTTTTTATGTAATTTTATACAAAGTCGAACTTAAAATGACTATAAAAATAAACTGTGTATGTATTTTTTTAAATTTTATGGCAACAGAATTAACTACTTAATCTTGTTTTAAATGTTCAATCCTTTGATATAAAAATTGAACATTTTATACATTTTTAACAACAAAATAATTATTCAATTTCGATAAATTTTGTCAAAATTCGATCTTTAAATGCTTATAAAAAAAAATTGTGTCTATGTATTTTTAATAATTTTCAACTGCTATCGTAACAATATATCAGGAGCTTTGGATTAAATTTTTACACTTTTTGGTCAAACAGATACAATTTTATTGATATTTATAGAATAAAAAGGTGCTCTGCTGTACAGTAGGTTACAAGTGGATCACTGTATAATCAGCGCTTTGATCGTAAAATCAATTATATTTGAACGATCAACAAAAAAGTAGAAAACGACGTACGTTCTTCATACGAATGTAGGGCCAGACACTACTAGCGCTGTAACTCACGCGGCCACCGCCCTCGGTCGTTTTGCTGTTCAGTACAACAGTATAGCGCGAGTTAAAGTGGCGTCGAATTTTTTTGTGAAGCGAAATCTAGAATTTTTTATCCACCCACCCACCCACCCACTTAAACTTAAAACTTCTGTACACAGGACACCTTATGTGTAACTCTGTTTACTCATTAACCACTACTCCCTAGAACTTACCTATACCCACCTACCCACCCACCCATTAAGAAGTGAAGCGTTTGCTTCACATGATATATGAGTTCGGCGCCACTGGCAAGTTACTACCTGTGCAGATAACCGTGGTCTATACCGTAGATAAAGGTATTATCTATGAAACCAACTACCTCGATCGTCTCGACTCACAATTATTAAAATATAGGTAATATACTCGTGCCGGCGAGATATTTCTCGTTCCCGCATCAAAGTGACGGCGCTCCGCGGTTTCGTGCCCAAATTTCTCCCACTCTACCACCTGATCGCCGCCGTCAATTCCCCTACTAGGTACGCGCGACCAAGACGTAAAAGTATCAGCGACGGTGCCGGCGGCCAGAGTTTACGGCGGTCAGCGTTCTTGAAGTTTCAGTGGTGGGGCAATGTGCGAGATCGGACAAATTTTGGTGGCCGCCCGAAAGTATTCTCTGGACGGCACGACTCAGCGCTAGTGTGGTCTCGACTCTCGAATATTATTGTTTAAAAAAAATGTCGAAATTCAGACGCCCCGCGAATCGCGATTAAAGCGTTTATAAGTAATATTATTATTAATACCTATGTAAAAGACAATCAATGATACCGAAATGATAAAGTAAACGTGTTTTCGCGTGATAAAAAAATCAAATCCAGTGCGTTGTTTTTTTGCCATTAATCGTCGATCGTGGACCTGAACAATCCGTCCGCGTTTCACAGGTACGTTTCTCTCAATATAGGTGGTTACTGCGACATACGTGAATAGGTATAATGATTGACGGTAACTACATTTTAACTTTTCCTAACAATTAACATTATATTCTTATTATGATACAGTAGGTAGTCACTCGATGATTCGAAAAACTCCATATATCGAACTAAACGCAGAGTCCCCTGAGAAAACCTATATGATTAGAAGAAAATTCATGTACCTATTTCGGTCACCTCGATAATCCGAAATGTCTGTCGGTGGGACACACTCTACAATTAACAGATTTTTTTCGACAAACATCTATAATTTGAATTTCCTTAAACGCGATTAGGTATATTATGTAAGTTCATATGTGTGTAGGTACATAATATAAAGATTATGTACAATCCATATTTTTGACGTTCTTCTTAGTGAAACTAATAACGATGGTGGTTACATATTATTGTAGTTTATCAATGTTATTTTTTCAAAATAGCTTTGTTTATTTCGTTCAACATAGGTAGGTATTGTACATAAAACTTTCCGATATTACGACAACCATACCTATTTTACTTGTCAGTTGTCGGTAAGTACCTACCTTCATATTATTATCTTGGTATTATAATATGATTATGTGATGTAAGTACCTACCTATCTACCGAAATAAAATATTAGGTATTGAATATAGGTATTTGTATTTCCTTACCCACTTAAAATATGGTTTACATCAAATCAGTGAATGTAATGGACCTGATGACTGTTGATTGATTATACTGGTATAAATATTATATAATTTATTATGCATTACTATTCTAGACTATACAGATCAACTTATAGGTACCTACGTACCCATATCTTTCTCTAGAATAAATACAGTTACCTAAAATATTATTATTATTTATACACTCAATGACATTTTCAAAAGTAATGTTTTCGGAAAAATTAATTCAACCGGCTGAATTAGGTGGGTACTAAGTAATATAGCTTATAAGCAGACATACCATTTTGGCTCATAATCGTTTTTTTCTATATACCTAATCAGTGGCGCCAAACTAATTTTTTATAGGTGTGGCAATGTACATTAATTTATACCCACCCACCTACCTCTTTGCGGTATGAAACCTAAGCCGTGGGGGGCAAAGCCCCCCACACCCCCCCCAAAAAAAACACTTCAATTTTTTATTTTAGAAAATATCATTTTCATAAATAAATACCTATATATTATTTACTGCATTTTTGCATTATTTCAGTAGGCTACCCCTTTATAAATGTATACCCAAAAAGTGGGGGCTACCCCCCCTTTACAGCAATCAATTTTTATTTTATAATCAACATTCAAACATTTTGTATTTGCAAAATTGCAAACAAAGATTATATTGGTACAAATAAAAATTTAATATATTATTTAACAAATGTGTAATAATAAAATATAATTAATATATAGGTTAGGTACATTATAAAATTAAAAAAAAAATAACTGTTAAGTAATTGGTTTTTATAATACATTTTTAAGAACAGTACTATACGTTGCAAGGGTTTTTATTACCTCTTCATTATCAATGTTAATATCTTTTTCACATGATATAAGCATAAGTGATTCTAATCTATCTTCTCCTATAGTACTTCTCAATCTACTTTTAATTAGCTTCAATTTAGAAAAGGCTCTTTCAAGAGAAGAACTTGAAACCGGTAAAGTTAAACATAAACATAATGCAATAAAAATGGATGGAAACACTTCTTTTAAATCATTTTGGTGACACACCTTAAAAACCGTCGAAATATTTCCTTGGTTTGTTGCTAAGTCTAGATCTTCTGGATCAATATCATTTTCAGTATTATCACTTGTTTCTATTTCTTCGTCGATATCATCTGTTTTGTGAATTTTTTCTGTTAGTATCATTAATTTTTTAAACATAAAATATGAATCTGAAAATTTTTTGTATTCACGTCTTAAATCATCAGCTTTTACAAATTTCCCATAGACCATTTCAAATCCATCAAAAGCATCAGTGGGTAAATTTGACTGCTCTGCTACTTCTTTTAATCTTTTTTCTTGAAAAAGTGAAATATCTTTATAAAGTGGAGTAGATTGATCATTGAATCGCTCTACTATCTGTGTATTTACAATATCAATTATTGTATAGTAAGTATTAACTTGAAAATTTTTGATTGGACAACTGATTTGTTCATCTGCTATATTTTCTCCTGGCATTTTTTTTTCTTATCCTGTTTAATGATAATAGAGTGAATGATAATTCATTCGCCTTAAACGCTATAAATGTATTTTTATCTTCTACCAATTTTTTTAATTGATGCTCACTTCTGAATGTATGAATTTTTTCTAATATCAATTTTACGTGTTCACTAGCACCCAGCAAATCAATATTAACACCTTGCAAAAATTTAGTTAAAGGGCTAGTTAATTCAAAAATTTGCTTAAAAATAAAACCGGTTACCTAGTATAAAACGCTCGGACAATAAATAATTTATCAAGCTACTAGCTTTGACACTGGATATACGATCAGAATCGTGTTGTAAATCCTCTAATGTATCAATGATTGAATCATATGTGTTGAAAACCGTACAAAGAGCAGCTGAGTGTGATGTCCATCTGGTAGTATCTACTCTTTTTAGTCTTCGCAGTGGCTTTCCAGGATATATTTTTTTTGGGATGCCGAGTAAAGTCCTACTCGCTTCTTACTACTGCCTATATAATCATAAAGTGTTTCCAATGTACCAAATAAGTCTTTTAATTAAGACATTTATATTTATCATGAAACAACTTGTGTCACTTGATACAACATTTCATTATTCAATATTAATTTTTTTTTTTTTTTGGAATAAATATAAAATAGTTACTTCATAATTTTATAGCTAATGAAATAAAATACTGGTTTCATTTTTTAGGTTACTGAGTAGTACCTATAGGATGTAATGTATTGTGTATTGAATACAATAATAATGATAAATAAAAAATAATCTAATAAATTTGCTAATTTGTATTTCTTTAATAATAGTTTGTTTTTAATTTAGATGCTGTGAACAGTGATAAACAACCACAAGCATCACCTAGAGTGATTAGTGTCACTAATTTATCTCAAACACGCTGACTTACCAATACGGACAGTAATCAATTTAATAGTTTGTCTGTAATGAACAAGATGATAGCTGAGGAACAAAACTCCAGCATGAAGAACGATACGTAATGATAATACAAAAATAACATTTTTTTTTGGCATAGTTACACAACATATTATACAACAAATCTTTTAGGAAAACTGTTGAAATTGAAGAAAAACCAGAAACATCCACACAGTCGGTTTCTCAACCATCTGCAAATGTATCGCCTAGTGCACCAGCCGATAAGGCTTGTACTTCTAAAGAAACTGAACCCAAATTTGATGGCTCCGGTGAAGCAACTGATACTGTAAATAGTTCATCAAATAAATCGACTGTCACACCATTAAAAGAAACGGATCATATCTTTAAACGGCCTCTAGTTGAAGAAAAAGAAGTTAAACCAAAAAAACAAAAAGGAGATCATAACCAATGTTATAAAGGTGACTTGCTTTTTTTGGATTTAATATGATTTAATAAGCCCCTTTACATATTTTTGGTTATTATCAATAGGTTGAAAATGATACTTATGTATTCAAATTTATCAAACAATAATTTGTTGAACTTAAAATTAATAACATTTCTTATAGTAATTAGAGCTTGATGATTAATTATTATACTTCAAACTGAAATTGATTGTTGATGGTTTTCAACTACAAAACTACTAAAAAAGTGTATAAATATTGTTTAATCATAAACTTACCTACATCTATAAATTTAAAATGTTACTGAGCCGTTATATTTTTTTAAATTAATTTAAATATAACTTTATGCTATATTGGAACTATCTATCAAACAATTTGTTTTAACTTATAAAAGTCACCTTACATTATTACGTACATTTATAAATTTTCCTTAACATCATCTCGAATCATGAGTGAAAAAAGATATGTAGGAATGGCTATTTAAAACATAATACAAAATTACATTATGATATTCAAAAATTGTGGCAATTTGATTTGAAAAATTACATTTTTTTTTATTAAATCGAAGTGCATACTTGCTATGTAAAGAGTTACAGGAATTTTAAGATTTAAAAAAAGGATAATATGCATCATCTGATTCTTTAGTCAGTACAAACAATATTATTTGCCATAATATAATACATTATCGGATTATCCATTTAATATAATATTTTGGATATAATATTATATTACTTAAAACAAATATAATGAATATATACTAATGCAGTATTTATTGATCTGTAAAATGTACGTAGAAAATATTCCAGGAAGGTAGATTTATGTAGATATTTTGATTTAATTGTAGTATTTATCATAATATTATTCATATAATATTTGATATATTATACTATTGTTATATTAGATTGAACTATTGATTTGTTTTCAGAACCTAAAAGTTATCATACAGTCATAATTTAACTTATCACAAATCCCTATTTGATTAGATAAAAAAAAGTATTGAAGTTTGAATTTTTTTAGGTAAAAATGCGGCTTCTTGTCCTAAGCCTGACCATAATGAGAACAAGTCTGGTGGTTTGAAACCTTCTATTGCTGGCGGTGCTGGAAGTGGGCCTAAAGTACCTTCATTAAAAATTGTAATACCTACAGCAGTAGATGCTGATATGGGTATAAGATCATATGGCAAGAATCGATCACATAACTATACAGCATTACCGTATGTAGTGCCATCTGAAGATTCACAAATAGCATTAAAATCTTTGCAGAAAGTGACTTCTGATACAATATGCGTAGAAGAGCAAAAGTCTCTTCAGACCAGAGTATTACGGTCATCTAACAGATGCGGGAGTAACAGTATTGGTACACCAAGTCGTAGTACTTCTCCAATCATTCCTGATGAACAGTTGGGTCAAACTACATCGCCAGGAGCTGTGACAGTGAATGCAGTATCAGGTAACTCCTCGTCACCGCCTGCTACTCGTTCGGAAAAGAGTGAAAATATTTTGGCAATCATTTCTGGAGATAACAAACAGGCAGCTACTTCTGCTGCAGCTACTGTGACTACAGCGTCGTCTGGTATGTCAGGGAATGAACTACATCCTAGACGACGCAAATTAAAAGCTAGTCGTACTGAATCTAAGACTAGTGATTCATCTGCTTCCAATGGTACTGAAGTACCTAATCTGTTTGGCACAACATGTGAACCTGTTCCAGTTTCCAATTGCTATCAAAAGTTTTTAGACATTAGAAAACAAGTAAATTGGTTAAATAATAATATATTTAATTGCTGTTTTTGTTTTAATATGTAATTATTATTTTTAATTTATTTTTATTTTTAGATTGATGAGAAACATAAGAATTTGTATCCTGTGAAACCGAAACCACCTTCTGGATTTAAAGACTATCTTATGAACAAGCGCACTTATCTTTTGTCTGGTAACTATAATAGCCGTATAGTCAATACACAAAACTCAACACCAGCAAATTTACACAAGCAGTTGTTAAATCTGTTTGTTGAACAAGAAAAGGAGAGACAAAAACTTCATTTAAAGGTTTGTTTTCTTTTGGAATATTTAAAAAAAAAAAGAATATAATATTATAACTACAATAATTTTATATTTTGTTTAGCACATAGTAGAAAAAGAAAAATTGGTGTTGTGTGTTGAACAAGAGACACTTAGAGTTCATGGACGCTCAGCTCGTGCATTAGCTAATCAGGTTTTACCATTTTCTGTATGTACTATACTCAAGGACAATGAAGTATATAATATTATGACACCTGAGGAAGAAGAAAAGAAAAATAGACATACACGATCCCGTTACAATGGTCGTCTTTTTTTGTCATGGCTTCAAGATGTAGATGAAAAATTTGAAAAGATTAAGGTAATAATTTCATAAATTATAACTCTATAAAAAATTTTTTAAATATTTTATAATCACTGAAGGAATCAATGTTACTGAGACATCACAATGAGGCAGAGAGCTTACACGCTGTACAGAAAATGGACTGGGGATGGAAGTTGAAGGAATTACGGTTGTGTACTTATAGCTCTGAACCCAACATCGATGAAACGCATGTACCAATAGTTCAAGTCAGTGACGATTTTGATCTCTTGCCCGCCTAACCTAGTTTTGTTATTAATTGACGTAATATATGCAATATTGACTGTCGAGTAATGTATGATATTATCATTATTAGGGAATAATGATAATATTTTACTTGACAACATTCGAATGTTTTTCACTTGTATTCATGCTATTTTATAAATAATATATTAATAACAATATTGTGTGTGGCTAAAAATTGTTTTTTGCCATCATTCTTTAATTTAAATTTATAATTTATTGACGGATACGTTCATGATGATAATAAATGTTTTCTCAATCCAATTTGTTTTACTTTTTTACTTTATTTTTTTCACCATGTTGTGGGTTACGAAATCCTAAAAGCCATAGATACTAATATTATAATAATGTTATGCATCTCATGGCTAGTGCAAAAAAAGTTATGTAGTTACAAATTATTAGAAACTATAAGGTAGTATGATAAGCACCTCGACTGTTGCCATAACATCATCAGATGATCACAATATTCCACGAATCATAAAACTCTGTGAATTCAACTATATGCAGGCTTAAAATTCATGGTCATAGTTATTTTAAGCTATACAATGCCAACTAGTATTCACTAAGTAGTATTCATAATAGGAAACCAAGATATTCAAATTTTGACGAAAACAACTTTGTTGCAAAGACAAATTCGTAAGGGAGCCAGGAGTACAATGTATTCAGATGTACCATTGACCATAGTCGTAGAGACTTGAGCACCTTCTTGCCACTCACATAGGCATGACTTGTACACTTTTATAATTTTTACTTAAATTAAATATAACGAAACTATAATTTTATGCACAGTTGAAAATTGTCTATTATTAAAAAACCACCATCATCAAGATCTCTGGCAATCTGCATATTATGTACAACCAAATGATAATTTTAACACAACACTCATCGTTTTAGAAAAACTATTATTAAAAAAAGAAAAACTTCTCAATTCCAACATTTTATACTTCATAATTTTTTTTATTGCTATGTTCATTATTAAATTATTATTGACTTGATTTTAAAAGTTCACCTTAAATATTTTTTATTAATAAGAACCGAGCTTAGATGAGCCATAAATAATGCAACTAATGCATCACAAAATATATAATGAGGGTACCTCCAAAATATTTTACTGAAGTTTAAATACTTTAAAATGAAAACCTATCTAATAAGTAATAGATCTCAGATAATTCAAGACCATTTAATACAAGCCTGTTCTTTTGATATACATTTATGTATCTCATTAATAACATTTTCACTAAAACGTAATCTTTTTTTTTAAAAAAGGATAACTGATACCTATTTTCAAAGGGTTTTATATAGTTAACTTTAGTAAAATTTTAAATTAAATACTTCACTCTATTATTTTATATAAGGCTGACTTTTAGCACACTGTAGGCACTACATTATAATATTATAACTTATGTGTAGGCCATGTGTTTAGTAAAATGTTACTTATTACTAAAAGCAGTACAGTCATTTTTGACACAAATGTGGATCAGTACTTACCTGAGTATCTATGATTTTTCGCGGGGACGGGTGTATAAAGGTTTTAATAGACATATTCAGTATACACATATAGTATATACATATAATTATTATACATATTATATGTTACGATGGAAGATGAAAATTGGCAAGCTACGTAATTTAAAAAAATGATTCAATTATGTAAGAAAATAATGTATGAAAAAAATCATTATACAGCTATTATACCAGAAATAAGTCCACAGACTCACAGGTCACAGCTACAGAATAAGTTATTCAAGATGGTCTAATGGCTGTATAAATTATAATCTATTGAGCAATGACCATTCGTTTCAATATCCTTTTCAATAGAACTATATGTTTATGTACCTTGTACACATTCCTATAGGTGTAAAATTAATTTACGAGAACTTATTGTTTAAGATAATATATCAGAGTTCCATTCTCAAGTGTTGAGGAAGCTAATAGGTGATGTATAAACAACTACAAATTCGGTCACTGGCCACATGCACATCGTACAATTTTGTCCAAATTCAAACTTTAAATGCTAATAAAAAAAAAATTGTGACTGGATTTTTAATATTTTTCAAATATCGTTTTAATAATATATTAAGATCATTGTATTAAACTTTCAAGCATTTTTAGCCTACAAATAAAATGTTATTGACATTTATAGAAAAAAAAAAAATTTAAAAATTAAAACTGAAAATGTCCCGTAAGGCTGTAAACAGATCAAAACAAGGAATTTTTTGGGTGTACCTATATAAAATGCTAATATAAGCAACCAGTGAAATTTTCAAGCATCTACAATCATTTGTTTTAAAGTTATACAAAAAACCAAAATCGATTTTTAAAAACAGTTTTTGGGTAAAAAAATTCCGTTTTATCATAATTTTTATAAATATTTGCCCGTTGCTTTTGAAAACTATTTTGAATTTTAAATTTTGAATGCACCAATTAGATTCTTTTCCCGTCGAACAAGATACTTAGGTTGAAAATCAAAGCATTATTTCAACTACTTTAACTATTAACTGAAACAATAATATTATAATATACCTATACATTATACATACATGTGTATGTCATAATGCAGTAACACAACATTTTAAATGTATAATTACTAATAATTTAAATAATATATATACAATAAATGAAAGGTAAGCAGTATGTACAATGTATATATTACCAATACAAATTCATTTAATATAATATTATTAACAATATTAACAAATATAATATTTATACAAAACAATATAGGTACCTACATACATAGTACATAATATCATTAAAAGCTTTATTGTTATGTTGTACGTATTGTTGTTAAATAATATTAATATAATTATTATAAAACTATAGGTAATATTATAAACAAGTAGATACCTACATATATCTATATATACATGTGTCATGTATATCATATATATTCAATAATAAGTAATTTAATTACCGATATTATAAATGTAACACAGATTTCCTGTTTTTCCTTAATTTTTTTTTTTGTTTTTTCATTTCACTTTTGAAAACTATTGGAAATTTTTTTCTTTTGACCCCCTGAAGTACCAACTGGATTCACTTAGATATCAGAAAAGATACTGTTGAAGAAAATCCAAGCTCTTTTACTGTCCTAAAATTTGATGACAGACGAAAAAAAAATAAAAAACATATCATTGTAAAATCAATACATTCATCGCTCCGATCAGAATCTAAAAGTTGGGTAAGTGGGAGTCACTCTGCTGTACAGTAGGGTACAAGTGGGTCACTGTCATATGGATGGTATTAAATTTGAATTCCATGATTTAATTTTATCATTGAATACAAAAACAAATCTGGGTGGTGATGGTTTGTAAGTGTGGATATTATATATTATATTTATATTGTTATTACATATTATTAATACGATAGCCATTAAGGTGAATTAGGATTATAAAATTACAACAAAATAATTAAAATCGTTATTCTTGGGTTTTTAATGTGATTTTCTCCAAATTTGAACATCTTCTATAAAATAAATTCATTATAAAAGTATATAGGAGAAAAATAAAAATAATTTTTTATTTAAGAATAATTAAATGCAGACCATTTATTACACATACAATTATTAATTTTTAATGATCATAACTCATAAGTTATATGTAACACAGCCTATTATAATTAAATGATTATTAATGATATTAAAAATTAATATATATTTGTCCAAAACTAATTTTGAGAGTACTATTATACTAGTAAAATTTATATTTATATTTTTTTTTGTGTCTATAGGTATATAATAGCATACAAATATGAAGTTGCTTTTTATTTAATCTTTATATAATAACACAAACCTATTACCAATATGTATTAAATTTAACAAAAAAAAAGGACAATTATAATTTATAACCGTATCATAAATGAGTTATGAATATAAAAATTACCACTAAGCATAGATAATACTTCTTCATTTACAATTTACATCAATGATTTTATTTAGAGAATTCAATACATTCATATCCCATACCACCTCTATAGAATTATGATTACTTGAAGTTATGACCTCATCAAAATTTTTAATTGTTATAACTAAAATGTTTATTAATTGTATTAGTTAACATGATATTTACTATAGTAATTTATACTTAATAAGCTTGATAATAAATATAAACATAAAATCATACTATTTTGGAACTATTATTTGTTATATTTGGTCCATTTTGGTCCAAATTTTCAAACCTCCATAGAGGCATTTTTATAAGCCCATTACCATGGACCTTTTAACCTTAGAACATAAAGTTAAATAAGTCAAAAGATCAAAAACTACTAGTATGAATTTGGATTCTGATACGTCAAATTGTTCATAAAAATGATCCACTGAATAATTTACAGTTAAAAAAGGGAGTTCTCATTTGAAAAACAGAGTTTGTATCTTCACATGATACTCCTTAACTAGTACAAATAATCTAAAGAATTTGAAAATAAAGTCTTTAAGTGTATTTAAAATTTCAAAAATCAGATTTTAAATAACTGCTATATTGAAGAAAAAGTGTGCATGTTTGGTGAATCACACTGTATATTGTATATCCGTTGTATCTTTAGTAATCAGATATGGGAACTTACTAAATGCATTTATACCAAACCAATGTGCTGTATCATGCATAAATGCATAATATATAAACATTTTTGGTATTAATACAATTATTAGTATTAGGCTTAGTCAGTAAGTTTTTGTAGATGTGAGCAAAATTGAAACTAGGGTAAGATAACAATTATGTAATAGATAGTAAAATTGAATCGCGGACATTTTCCCCCCGACTGTTTTCGGTGTAGTAAGACATTTTCCCCAGATATATTTTTGATGTTGACATTCCCCCCCCCCAATTTTTTTTAAACTTTACTATTTAATTATAAAATATTATTATTTAATATGAATATTATATTTATGTCAATTGTCTAATATTTTCATAAATACCTATAATAAATTATAGATGTAGGTATGGTTTTATCAACTGAACTACTTGAATCCAGTTCACAAGCACTTATTAAATTGTTAAATATT